TGTTGGAGCGATGGTCAAGATCCGCTTTTGAACAGATTCACTTGTATTGAAAGATGATGAGTCTCAGGATTAAATTGGCCACAACTTCCTTATTACTCAACCGATTTTTCACTAAATTTGTTTTGTTATAATCCTCAGACATAGATTAATCTTGGCTGCACAGACTGCTCTCAGTAGTTTTTATTACTTTAACAACTGACCGTGATAATTAGCCGTCCAGACCAGCAGGAAAGTATTCAGTCTGCAGCTGACGTTAAAAACGAGTTCAGCACTCCGGTAGAAACACAATCTCACACACTTCAGCAAATCCATCAACACGTGAATCACTTCTAATCTTCATACAGATAAAAATAAAATAAACCCCCCAAAACTCAGTAAGAAGGACGAAGCTAAAGTCGGCTTCCTTTTCACCAGCTTCTTGGTTGAATTTTCCCGTTCCACCTTAAACGGTGCAGCTTCAGGAACCAGAAAGTGACTGTAGCCCCATTTAAGGTGGAATGAGAAAATTCAAACAAGAAGCTGGCAAATAAGATGTTGACTTCAGGTTAGCGTAAGAAGCTGCTAACATTAATCTATTATGAATATCTACACAGGTTAACGAATGCTTATAACTTACCAAATCATCACTGTAAATAAATAACTACTACATAAAGTTAAGATCCCCTGAATAATTGAATTAAATGAAATAAGCTTAATATAAAACCAGAGAAAAACAATCACATGAACAGATTCTTTGTGTTTCACCAACCACACGGACATATCTACACATAAACATCACACAATCAATACGCATCACACAAACATGAGCCTGGATCACTGTGTTCCCTCCGTTACATAATCCTATCCCACTTTCTGAGTTCAATATTGTTGAAATAGTGTAATTTTGGACAGTATCTTTCTTAAACTGCCGCTCTGTAATGGTACTGAATGCAGTCCAGCAGCAATGTTGACCGCCCCAAAATGGTGGCGCCATTGACATGTCTGGCTGGACCCAACATGGTATCTAGGTATACATATCTATGGCTGTACCAATCGGGGGCCCCTGATGTTCTGTATCCAAAATTATTTAATACACAACATTGTTGTTTTAAAGCAATGCAGTAGCATGTGGTGCAACCATCACTTGTTCTCAGGAGAACATCAGGAGATTGTGAGTTTGAACCCTGGTGATGCTTCAGCCATCCATAAGTGGGATTAGAAAAGCAGAGAATGTCTGTCGCAGCCCTAGATGGTGGGGAAATTGAATATAACAAGTCATAATGTTTACCTAACTGAGACGCAGAGCTAAAAAAATAGGAGGTAGCAGAACTTCTGACTGAACTAAGATGTTTGAGCTGAGTAAACTAGTTTCCTGAAGCTTTAACTCAAGAAACACTGTGTAATTAACTTAGAATTATGAACTGAGCTGACTTTTCATTTGTTTTACAGTGTTCAATGCATGAATACTACAGATTATCCATAGAATGGAAGGCAGCCATGCTAATTGACCTGAAGTATAAAAAAAATTGAACAGAGATGGTGAATTATTTCAAGCATACAGGCTGTGATAATAATAAGCCTCTGATGTTTATTTGTGTGAAAAGATGTTCTACAAAGCCAAGGCTGCAGTTACTTTAGCCGCCTCTTTTTCATGTAAATTGCAGCGGTTCAGTGATTGTGTTTTTTTTACCCATATTTTATTGTGTCTTTATGAGCCGGACTGCTTTTGAGAGCCATCAACATTGCAGGTGTTTCTAAATGGACAGCTCTCTCAGCAGCACTTTGGAGTGCAGTATCAGAGGCTGCATTGTTTTATGCATGTGTGTATGTGTGTGTGGTGGTCTTTGCATGCTTTAGGATAAATAGAGTAGGGGAGTGTGTGTGGGAGAGCACACTGTTTGTCTAACTTCTCTATATTTCGTGGACAGCCTTTCAATGCGGCTTCCAACAGCATGCGCTTCAATAGAGAGCGCCGATGAAAGGACCAGGCTGAACGTGGATCTATAGTATGTATCTGACATACAAGCTTGTGCACATCAGATTCACTCAGACAGGAAAGCATGGGAACTCATTCAGAAGCTGACCCTAAACTTTACCCACAGGCTTCATCAATCATGCACGGCACTATGGGGCGTGGGGCCAGCACCAAACACTAAGATCCTTGTAGTCTGGACACAAACAGGGTCTACACACTTAAAAATAGAGGCGCCAGAAAGGTTCCGTGGAGAGATGCGGTAGAAAAACCACCTCTGGTTTCTTAAAGAACCTTTCAGTAAGTGGTTCTTTGGTGCTGCACTACTTTTCAACCTACCACTTCTGTAGCATACTGTCAATTACCTAGACCACTAACTGACACGTGTTCCTTATTATTTATTTAAACAAAAGCAAATCTGTTGACCAAACCACATTTACAGTACGCTCATTAAAATTATGGTTCTTCAAGGGTTCTTTGTAAGGGAATGGCTCTATTTAGAACCATGAGCTCTGTTTAGACCCATTTCAAGACTAAATAGTTATTTGCATGGTGAAATTGTTCTTCCGGCTGATGGAAAACGTGTTGTATATGGTTCTCTATAGAACTTTCTTATATAGGGTTCTTCTATTGTTAAAAACCTGACATCCCAACAATAACAGAACCTTTTTGGTATAGATCACACCAAACAGAACCATATACAACACATTCTCCGTCAATCTGAAGAACAGTTTCACCATTTAAGCATAAAGTGGTTCTACATAGAACTCATGGTTTTAAATAGAACCATTCCCTTTACTGAAGAACCCTTAAAGAGCCGTCTTTTTAAAGACTGTAGTGCATAAAATTTATGAACTACCTGGCATTTAATTAATTTCAAGTCAATATAGTTATTAAAACTATAGTTATATAGACAATATAGACAACATAGTTATATCAAACGTGTTTATTTTTCAGCATCAGGAAACATATTTAACAAAAAAATTACTCCAACAACAACAACAAAAGCCTCAATAATTAAATATAATATCACTATTTTTCAGCATTTTTTGGGCCACACTTCACTTTTATTGCAGCTTCCATTCTTTTCAGCTGACTTACTTTCAGTTTTTCAAAGAAATCTGCAGGGATATTTTTCCACACCTTCAAAGTTCAGTCTTAGAAGTTGGCTGCATTCTCTGCTTCTCACAATCCAAGCAACTGAATCAAGCACATTCAGTGATGTTGACGTCTACAATCTGGGGTGGTTTCCTTTTCTCAGTGAGGGCTTCTTGACAGCTACACATCCTTTCAGACCCATGGCGCTGAACTATCTTCTCACAGTGGAAGGAAGGACAGAAACATCTGTGGATGTTTTCAGCTCTGAAGCAGCTTAATTTTCTCCTCTCTCTCAAAGATGAAAGCTTTAAGTGCTGTTAATGTGATGAGGACAGTTTTGGTGTGTACCAGGTCTTCCACGGTTGTTTAGTCGTCCCATTTTCTCTGCATTTTATAATCATTTTTGTCCAATTTTGGAAACACCTGTGTCTCCTCAGACATGTGTCCAGAAAAAATGGCCAAACTTGGAGTGTTACAACTCACCATGTAACCCCCCCCAACTCCCTGTCTCCCCTATAATAAGTAGCACTGAAATGATTACAACAGATGCAGCACATAAAGATTGAAGTTTAAAAATGCTGGAGTTAAAAAAATCTACTGAAAGCTTCCGTAGGGAACTAAAGGAGGTTCTTCTTCTATGGCATCGCTCCACAAACCCTTTTAACATCTTTAACTTCAGAATGTACACTCTCCTAAAAAAGACGGTTCTTCAAGAGTTCTTAAGTAAAAGGAATGGTTCTATTTAAAACAGTGAATTCTATATTAAACCATTTCACACTTAAATGGCTCTTTGCATGGTGGAATGGTTCTTCAGATTGATAGAGAATGTGTTGCATATGGTTCTATATAGAACATTTTGGAAATTGGTTCTATATAGCTCAAAAAAGCATCTATTGCTACAAGCTTGACATCATAACTATAACAGAACCCTATTATTATATCTATCTCAAGAACCATTTCACCATACAAAGAATCATTTAAGCATGAAATGGTTCTATATGGAACTCATGGTACTATATAGAACCATTGCCTTTACTAAAGAACCATTCATTTTAAGTGTGTTGAGTAGAAGTGCTTTAAAAATACATATAGAATGCTAAATTCTAGGAAAGCACTGAAAGGCTAAATTCAAAGAACGACTTTAAAGCCGCTGAATGAAAGAAAGTAAAAATAAAAAAATAAAAAAATAAAACAGAAAAAGGGGGTTGGGCTTATTCTTGGTAACTCCAAAGCAAATGCAAATCAGTGTCCCAAGTAAGTCAGAAACGTCCAAACTCTGGGAGCGACTGTCTCTGAACACTGATGATGGTGAAGAAGGAGACCTAAGATTAGCTGCTGATGTAACTGTTGACCTTCATGCAATGAAAATGAGTTAAAACGAAAGGAAAGTGTGAGAAATGAAGTCTCAGCCACTCTCTAACAGATCTCTGTCCCGGGCCGCGAGCAGGTACTCACTCAGCCGACAACAGCTCGGTTACCGCCGATCATCACGGGGATGGAAGCAAAGGAGGGTAAAAAAAAACAAGAGTATAATCCCCGTGAGATTAGGGATTAGCGCCGGGAGGAAAAAAATAACCCGCTAAGCTTTGGGCATCTAACCGTCACGAAGCTTCACCCAAGGTCCTTCACGCTTAACCAGCGCCCGCTTTAGCTTTGAGGGACGTTTTGTCTCCTCACATTTCAACCGCAGAGCAAACTTAACTCTGTAACAGCGTCGCTCGTTCAACTTCACTGCATTCGACGGTGGCTGTTCGCGCGGGTGTCAGTTAGCTGTAGCTGCTAGGCTTAACAATATCTATTATATAAAAAAATAATAAGTGCACAAGCAAAGTGTTTTACTCCCTGTTGGGTCAGTATGGACGACTCCACTTAAGCAACATTCCTGAGCAATATTTCGCCACCCAGAAGCAGCATATTAAATGAGTGTAAACATATAAAAGCAAGGCTTTACCTGTGTGTCCCGCTGCAGCTCATTCAGAAGCGTAATCCCAACAGAGATACTCCAAAAATAAGAGTGTGACTTCAGAGCAACAGTATGAGCGGCGCGGGTAAAGCCAGCTCCGTCTGTTTTCGTCCCGAAGTCCTCGTAGTGCCTAAATCCTCCAAACGAAGTTCAGCAGGTCGCTGTATTCCTGTGAGAGCGGTAGCTGTGGTCCCTGAGCTGGAGTGCGGGTCCGGGTTTCAGCACCCTGTCCGCGGACAGCTCCTCTCGGGTCTCCAGCGCTAACTGAAGCAGCAGCGCAGCTCCGCGCCTACTGGCTGCGTCCCGCTCACATTTGCATACAATCACGCAGGCAGCCAATCAAAATGCAGCGGGCTGGCAAGAGCGGAGCCTTTCCAAATGAATCGCCCTTGAGTTAGAGTGCAGACTGACTCCTCCTACCGACGAAGGAGGAGCGCGTGCGCGCGGGCCGGTGTGTGTGTGTGTGTGTGTGTGTGTGTGTGTGTGTGAGGGAGAGAGAGAGAGGAAAAAAAACAGAGAGAGAGAGAGAGAGTAAGAGAGAGAGAGAGAGAGAGAGAAAGAGGAAAGAGCGAGAAACAGAGAGAAAAAAGAGAGACAGGCAAACAGACTGATAGGGTAAGAGAGAGAGAGAGAGAGAGAGAGAAAGAGGAAAGAGCGAGAAACAGAGAGAAAAAAGAGAGACAGGCAAACAGACTGATAGGGTAAGAGAGAGAGAGAGTGAGAGAGAGTCTATGTGAGTGAGAGACAGAGAGAGACAGAGAGAGAGAAACAGAGACAGGAAGAGAGACGGTCAGACTTAGAAAGAGAGAGAGAGACAGGCAAACAGACTGAGAGAGAGACAGACAAAGACAGAGAGAGAGAGAGAGAGAGAGAGAGAGACAGAGAAACAGACAGATTAAAGGAGAGAGAGAGAAAGTCTATGTCAGTTAGAATTAGAGAGGGAGCGAAAGAAAAAGAGAGAAAGAAAGACAAACAGAGGTCTGTGTAAGTGAAAAATAGAATGAGAGAGAAAAAGAAAAAGAGAGACAGACAGTTTAAGTGAGAGAGAGAAAGAGATAGAAAGAGAGACAAGGAAAGAGAAAAAGAAAGAGACTGACTAGAGAGAGAGAGAGAGAGAGAGAGAGAGAGTGTGTGTGTGTGTGTGTGTGTGTGTGTGTTTGTGCCTGATTGCTGCTCCACTGTGACTGTAACACACGTCACCATCATCATTCTGAGCACTGAGTGAAGCTTTAGATTGATTAATAGTCGCCACGTATTTTCGCTCTATAGGCTCCAGACACATTCATGCCACGTGCGCCTGGACTGTCATCTCACGCTCATATTTTACCATAACTGAGGCTATTCTTCATGATGCTGATTGGAAATGACTGCAAGATGACAGCATGTTCATGTTCCTCTGTAATATATGATGGGAAAGGGTGTGATGTGCGCCCCACAGCGAGACGCTAATGCAACCACTGGAGACACGAAGGCTGTTCAAACTCTCAGCATCTGACATATCATGGGTCACTCACGAGTTCTTCATAACACTGTCCTCATGTCTCAAATCGAGTACTTCAGTGTACTAGCCACTATTGCCCACAGTGTCTAGTGAAACAGGTTATAATGCACTGCTAATATCCATATGTTGCTCTAGAACTAGAGCTGTCAGACAATTAACATAATTAATTGTGATTAATCGTTTACTTTGTGCAGTTAATTCTGATTAATTGCATTTCTGTCCAGTGAGAGCCACAGTGACCGCATGTTCCAACCACTCAGTTTAAAGTTCACAATTATCATATATGCAGTCAGTCAGGGGCATCTCTACATTAGGGTCTGGTGGGGCCGGGCTCCACCAGATGTCGCTGTGGAGTAGTGCGTGACATGATCAACAATTCAGTATAACAACTAATAAACATTTATTGTTTGTTGTAATTAACAATGTTGCACATATATAACATATGACAATGGTAGAGCTGGAGAAACATTCCAAATATCTTCCTGTATCTGTTGTGTAAATGCCAGTAGGCTACCTGTTCCACCTAGCAGTCTTTGGTGAGCGTGGAGCCCGTCAGCATTCATCCAACCAAGTGAGCAGTTAGGACTTTCAGTAACCAGCTGTGGGGCTCACAATACATTTACATACGTCCAGACATTTAGTAAACATCGTTTAGGGTATGGGAGTTGCTCCGCAGCTAACCACTGTTCCTCATCAGTTGTGGTAGCTGCTCCTAATAGCAGGGAAATATAACGAGTCGAGTCGAGTCGTAATACAAGTTAAATTTGGTACCAGCCATTAGAGCAGAAATTAGAGGTTAAACATTTGGGACACAACAGCCAGATGATTTCCACATAATCCAGTCCGGGAAGGACAAAAAACTGCTCCTTTAATCCAGAGAGGTTCAAGAGAAAAACATGGCTGACTGTGAGTGTAGCTAAAAACACTCATCTGCTTTCCTTGCCTGCCCTTGCTATGCTATCACTTGAATTCATTCATGGATTGGTGGAAAGTTTTTGGCGAGTTTGCCAAGATGAAAGATCGTCATGCATCTTGTCTTTTCGGGGAGTGAACGTCACTGGTGAGTCATTTTGCATTATTACAAGACGCGTTATTCCTAATTCCCGGAAAGCAGCATATTTCCCTGCTCTGATATGTTGCTTTGGGTGTGTAGTTGCAGATCACAATGATCATACATTGATAGATAACTTTGGATTTGTAATGTGATGCTGTATAACAAGGTTTTATGAGGTCTAATGTCGTTATCATACCATTCATTTTCCTGTCTCCACTTCCACTAACAACTGCACCACTAATGTGTGAGTTCATTGATGGAGTGTGTTTGAGTTTGAATCAGGTTTGTGTGTAGTTTCATTGACGAGTCGGCTGCTGCCCCTACAGTTTTTGTGCCCCACCAGGCTTTCTGTGCCAGAGACACCACTGCAGTCAGAGGCTCCAATTCCTCCACAATTGTTGCATCTTTCTGTTGTTCATAGAACTCGTGGATTCGTGTTGCAGTGAAGGCTCTCAAGGTGAAAGTGGAGCTTTCCATTTTGCTGTTAATTTGCTCGTCATTGATTTATCCATCGTTCTCCCATGAGCACTGTCCAGTGTGGTCTGCTGAAGGTGACGAAGGCAGCACTTTAAAAGCTATATTTGAGTGAAAAGAATGCAACTGGGAACATATTGGGGAACATAGAGAATGCGAGCAGCTGGGTTTCAGCCTGGACTGCTGTAGATGGTTTAAATGGTCAAACTAGGAAAATGCAATAAAGGTATAAAAAATAGTGACATAAATAACTGATTGTTTTATTAATGAAGTTTAGAGCACTGCAGACTAGCTGTGTCCCAATTCATGGGGCTGCAAACTTCAGAGGCTGCATTTGAAGGCCGATTGCATCACAGCGGTGAGACTAGGCTGGACCATTTCGAAGGCTCTTTCATATGCAGTTGAGAAATATGTCCTTCATTTCCATGGCAACGAAGGACCCAACGAGTGGATCCTTCACCAGCCAACATATCCCGAGGTTCAGTGCGTGCCAGCGAGGATTCAAGAACATGGCAGCGTCAGCAGAGGAGCGAACCGCGGCTGAGGGAGTACACTTTTTAATGTAAGTATTGGGTTTAAACCGAGTCGAATAGGTAGTGATACACTCCAGCTTTAATAAATGAAAAAATAAAAAATATATAAAATTAAAGTTTCTGGCTCCATCTTTAAAAGATCTCAACAGGAGGGGCATTTCACGATGCAAAGGTAAGGGCGTGAACAGCGGTGCTGTGATCATCTTAATTCGGTTCGGTCTTCGCGGGTCTACACAGCCTTTAAAGGACACGCCGTCATAGACCGTGTCCTCTGAACAATGCAGCCCCTGAATTGGGACACAGCTACTGTTTGCACTTAGAGACCACAAGATGCCATACGTAACAGAAGAGGTGGAGCCATCAGAGTCTGCTACAGTTTGAAATTTCAAATGTGAGTTAGATGCCTTGGTTCTTTATAACTGTATGTCTATGCGCAATAATGTGCATTAGGCTATTTGCAACATGCTAAGGATTTCAGAACTCTAGATAACTTTAGCTTGATAATTTGCTAACTGCAGATTGATATCTGCTAACTGCTAATCTAGGCACCATTTAATGATGTAAAGAACTCAAGGCAATACTGTCCTATAAACATACAGACACCAGATAGTGAAGAACATAGTGTACACAAAGCATGCACTTTAATGAGAAATTAAAAATTAAATTATCTCCACATTAAGATATTGTAACTGTTAATAATGCAGTCAGGCAAACAGTATGACATTGGTCATCTTGGGGTGGGTGGTTAGGGGGGTCGAATAATGAGTGGGAGGGAGTTAAGCTGTTTACAAAGAGTTTACAAAGTGGTTTACTGTTTACAAAGTCTATGATTTGGGTTGCACTTTAGTTTATTTGTGTGGTACACTGTAGACCCCTGTTGATACTCTATTGATTTACTGATGTTCAAATTGTTTACCCCTCAAAATCCCAGGCTTACTACATTCTAAGGCTTATTATTCAGCAACTACATAGACTTCAATGCAAACTGTCTGAGCTATTAGTAGACGTGTGTAACAACACTTTGGGCCCACAAGTGAGCCCTGGGTTTTTAAAAGTTTACACAAACTATCTGAGCTTGACAGATTATCAACAGTGTGATGCTAGGATTTGGACCAGGTTAGCACCAGGGTAAAGGGTCATGTTTATGTTTTGGGTCGAGGTTGAAGTTAGATTTACGGTTAAGGCTTTCAGATGAGGGAAGATTGTGGAATTTAGTCGATACTTAGCTGAATGTAAGTTGAAAGTAGGTTAAGTATCTGCAAAGCATATAACATGTGCTATCCAAATAAAGTTTGCTCCCAGCCTGTATTTAATAAGCTGCCCTGCCCCTTACCTAACTCTAATACATCTGATTCAGCCAATCAGGGACTTGGGAAGTGGTTGATTAGCTGCAGCTGGTGTGGGAAATGACTAAATTACTTAATTACTTTAAGACTGGGGTTGGAGACCACTGAAATAAAGTGTTACTTATTTTGTTTGACTTTTTCCAATTTTGGGGTTTATAGATGCCCTTACTGCACCATTTGGTGAAGCCTACACTGATGCAAAGGTAGCCGTGGTCTTTTAGTCAAAAGTCCTTTGTGATGTAAACTAGGACTGCTCATAGTGGATGGGGTTGTGTATAGCCTACTGACCAACGACCACTATACCAATAAGAGTTCTTGGGCAAGACTCCTAACACT